TATAAGATGAGCCAAAAAGAAAGTTTATAAATAAAGACCCATTTAAACTCAATCAACCACACCAATGAATTGTGCATAAGAGAACATATGCTGCGATCAATTCTTCGGTGCATGGTAACACAGAGTGGATGGCTTCATAATTATCTCAACATTGGCGTGGAAACCATTATTTATATGTTAACAAGACCATAACAACCATTCGTGAAGAAAGGCACTTGAAAATGCTTGTTCTTATTGTGTACGTGTCAAACACCAATTTGTTGAATACCTTTAAGACCTTTCAAAAATTAGGACAAGTCCATCATCCAGACTTATGTTAACATATAATATATAGGACTCATAAAATCCACATAAGGCTTCTAGACATGTTGAATATTGGAGATAAGCATGTATTTTGAACTTTTTAACTCAAAGTGACGATACCTATCTCCTTAACCTTTTGCATACATGTTTAAATTCTATGGCAAATGGTTGTTAGGTAATGAATATAAGTATACAATGGATGTAAGTTGTCTAATTGTGTAAAATATATCTTCATATACAAATTGATTACCAATATATAGAAGATATAAAACCGCTGATTCTCGTCTTGTCCAATGTTGACCTCGGAATATCGCGTTGTGCCAGTGACCCATGTCCATGACAGAATTCCTTAGCAAGCATTATTACCCAAAATTACATAGTCTGTTAGCTAATAAGTAGAAAATGCAACATTTTACAAACAACTTTAAGCAAACTATTTTAATCATAATGCAACTTTAGAACTTCAAACAAATGAATCATACTGACTATTACCTTGCAAACCAAATAACAACCAGCAGAGCCGCTACCAGATTTAATTGGTAATAAGCTTCACTATAACTAAAAGCCAACACTAGTGTTCACTAAATCTAGTTGAGCCTTTTACAAGTTTCCAATAAAATCTAAAGCACTAACTAAAGGGCTAAGTATCGTGCCCATAAAAAACCACAAATGCAGAACCCACGCCCGCAAATGCACGCACAAAAAGAACTCTGAATCTTTCTATTTCAATGCTGGATATTTTCATCCCTAAAGATTTTGAACTCAAAAACAACTTGCCAAACAACCACTCACGATCTGATATTTCATCCCTATAAGTTTTTGAACTCGAAAACTACTTGCCAAATAAGTGTTTACAACCTTATATTTTTCATCCCAATAAGGTTTTGAATTATAAAACTACTTACCAATTAACCATTTACAACCTATGTTGTCCCTCTAGTCTCATCAGTCCACAAAGGGGTTTAACACCAAATAAGTAGCAAACAAATGAGTAAAATGGAGAGTAAATCACATCAGGATCAAATTGCTAAGTTGAATTTGTTGAATGCACCAAAGCTTATGACTTACAGTCATAGTACCGCTTCTCCAGCCGCTTATACCCGATCGCTTGTGCCACATCGATGGGCCGCCCGGGAGGGTACGGACGCTGCTGGAAACCCCACAGCCCAAAGAAGAACTGCCTGGCGAAATCCCAGAACTTGTCGTCAGACTCCTTCCTGGTCCTTATCGACTTCCTCGGCATCGGCCGCCCGTCCAACCCAGGTACATGGGGGAGCTTCTTCCACAGATCCCGGTCCTCTCGCCGGTAGGGGTGCTTATTTTTCTCGAGCTCCAGCTCGTTGATCCTGTCGGCGATGACCTCGGCGCGGCGCAGGAACTCGACCACGGGGTTCTCGTTGAACTCCTCCCACCATTCCCGGTTCTCTTCGACCTCCTCGGGCGTGGGGTTTTCCTTCTTGTCGAAGCAGGTGTCGTCGGCGAGGATACGCTCGACCTCCGGCGTGTGGCGGAAGTCGGGCCGGTGATCGCACTCCCAGAAGAACTGGTCCAGCATCTGGGAGTACTTTCCAGGGGCCTCCTTGGTATCTGCGGGGGCAGAGGAGGAGGATAAGGAGGCGGCGGGGTTGGATTTGGGATTGGGGAAGGAAAAGTTATGGCTGCCGATGCAGGCGAAGAAGGGGGGTTTGGAGGGCTTCGGGGGCTTCGGAAACCAATTGTCGCCGATCCATCCGAGGTTGATGGACGCCATGGATGGGGTGAGTAGGGTTTTGCGAGGTGGGGATTACGGCGTCGGGCCTCGCCGCGGGAGGTTTCGAAGGAGAGCAGAAGATAGGGTCGAGTCGAAAGAGTTCAGAACGAGACAGAGAAACAACGATACTCGATCGCAGACCTGCGTTGCCATTCGAGCCACAGTGGGACCCAAGAGAGAGCTTCGCGAAAGAGATAAATTGGGGTAAACCGTGTTTCAGAACTATGCGGGCTGCGCTTTCGACACCCACAGAGAGAATAAGAAAGAACACGAGAACGTCACTCCTCGAGATACCAGCATTACTATTGGATTTACAGTGGGACCCGAGGAATACGCGTGCTCTGCTTTTCACTCCCACAACGAGAACGGAACAAGAAAGACAAAGAACACGAATGTTACTCGCTAGTATACCTGCGTTATTATTTGAGGACAAGTGGGACCCGAGTGAGAGCTACGCGAAAGCTATTAATTGGTAGGAAAATGTTTCGGAAATACAAGGGCTGTTGTTTACACGCCCAAATCATACCCAGAAAGCCAACCATTGTGAGATCAGCGTCGAGTAGAATTGCTGATGGCGTTGACGGCTAGGATTATTCGGAATCAACATGGGCCGTTATTTTGGTGTGAGAAATCATTTAGATTGATTAATATGCCATGATACATCCCACAAAAGGCATTAATCAAATGCATCAACTATATATGTCTTATTAGTAATTTTTACTTTTTTGTAATATATAGTGTTCTCCCCCCACTCTTATCATCTTGTTAATTTATGATCATATTGATCACAAATAATGATCCAATCCATATCCCTATATATCAATTCTCTTTGTGAAAAAAATTCCACTCATGTATTTAAAAATTAAAATATTTTTAAATAATATGATTATATATGTATGTATGTATGTATGTATGTATGGATATCACTATATTAAGTCTCGGGTTATATTTTATACGCAGCATGCTAAATTTGATTAATGTTTATACTGGGTTAAGTCTCAAGTTATACATTATATGCACTATATTTATATTGATGTTTGATTCTTAGTTAAGTTGGGATATGGCTTTATTATAATATTTGATTTCGAGTTAGATTGATTTCCTTATTTATGATTTGGGATTAAATTAGGATATTAATTAGCTGAAATACAAATTAAAGCATGTCAATAACAAATTTTAAGTAGTTTTAGGTGCACTGTAAAAGGCAATGAATGCTCATTGGCATTTATAAGCATTCAAGTAATGGACGCTTTTAAAGATGAATTTTCTTTTTTTGTGAATGCTTATAAAGATGTTTTCCTTTTTTTCCCCCACAAGATGGAAGTCATCATAAATTATTTTTTGAAAAGCTTTTTTTTTCTCTTTTTATTTTTTCCAAAAATATTTTCCAAAAAATAACATCACAGAAGAGTTTGCCTGAATAAAGCAAACATTATCTGAAATATAACAAATAATGAGAAATTTAAGATTTTCTGAATTATGATTAATTTTTAATCATCATAAAAATGACTAACTCATTAATAAACCGAATTAGCCGAAATCCAAATTTAATAATAATAAACGTGACTTTATAAAATGAATGTCTCTCTATCTATGATAGATGTGAGACTAAATTGGAGTATCAGAAAAGAACAGACGAATGTAGATTATAATGATACATAACAAAACCATAATTGCATCGATTTGGATATTTTATCAAGATTCAAATATAGTTAAAAAAAAATAGATATAATCCATAAGAAGAAGAAAAAAAAAAGAAGTAGGAGAATCTCTCCAAATTAGTAGAGCATTAGGGTATCATTGCACCCACATAAATTATTGTTGAATCATTTCGCTAACTTATATAATTTATTTTTAAAAATATTTAATTAATTTTTTATTTATAAAAATATTATCTATTATTTATTTATGGTGAATATTTTAGCTTATTTCTTTCGGTTCTTTTTTCACCTTTTTTTTTTCCTCTCTATTATGAACATATCTCGAAAAACTAATACCGTTTTTATATTATCTAATATATGAATTCTTGAAAATAATTATAACTTTAGGTTTTTGCTACGTATCATTACGTTCCAATGTAATACCCTGGCTACGTGAACAAATTATTTTACCTCTATAATATTAAAAAAAAATTATTTTACCCTTAGTTGTTTACCCTATCAACCCTTGCCCATTGTGGTGATGCTCGTTAGAGGTTGCAAGTGACGACACGAGCTCTTACATTATGACCGTAAGCAAAAGGGGTGACCTCATATAATAAACCCTCATGTGAGAGTCGCAAGTGACGATGGGATAAAAAGGGTCAATGCGTACAAATGATAGATCATTACTTAGGGTTGCAAGTGATGATAACCCCTCATACAAGGGTTGTGGGTTATATGACGAGATGACAAGGATCGTGAGCGACGATAAGTAATAGAGGGCCAACTAGTAGATGAAGGACAAAGGGGGTAAAAAATGCTTATTTTTCTTTTAAAAAATGCTCATTTTTCTTTAAAATTTTTTTTCACTATGAGTAGTGTTTTCCATGAATTCGCCCAAATCTAATTACTTTTATTTTCTTCCCTGACCCTGGAAGCATACGGGGATCCCCCACCGGCCTTGTAGCTGGTTGCTGTGAGCTCCAATGGGTTCCACCCTGGCTCAAATCAGAAGGCAGGTAGTTCTTGTGTAGATTGCCAAAGTGTGGAAGAAACATACCGTTATTACTATCGTTCAAGATTAATTCTTCGACCACCTATTTTTACTCATTCCTGTTTTTATAGTTGAGTTTTATGTGGACCCCACATGAAATTTGGTCCAATTAAAGGTCAGGCAATTCAAAGGGTACTAACAAACAAGGTGGGAAAACATCGCCTTCTCTTCCGGAACCGTCGATTCTCACGCCATGATACTGAGGCAGTGTTGGCGGTGAGCTGAGCCCGGTCGATTGAGGGCGATGGGATTCATCAGAGTCCAATCCCTCTCCTCCCTCTCAGAACCCTAAAGAAAAGGAAGAGATAGAAGGAGGATGGAGACGAGGCGCGCTTCCGACCCCTGCGGTACGTCTCTGCTTCTTCCCTCTCTCTCGATCGACCGATCGAGTTCGGATTTCCGTTTGGGTTGGTTTCGCGGTCGTTCTTGAGACCCGGAACTGTTTTTTTTTATATTATCGTTTCTGATTTGTTGGGTTGTGAGCAGCGTGCCGCTCTATACGATTTCGCGGAAAAGACCAATGGAAGCCGAGATCGACGAGGACCAGGCTGCAGCAGCGGCGGACGAGACTTTGCTGAAGAAGTCGAAGGGTGCCTCCCTGATCTCTTCCGCGGCAGCTGAGGGTGCATCGGCGATGGATGAGGAGAACAACCAAGCAAACGGAATGGAGGTCGACGTGAACGGTTGCAACCAGGCCGAGATCGACGAGGACCTCCACAGCCGGCAGCTGGCGGCGTACGGACGGGAGACCATGCGCCGGCTCTTTGCGTCGAACGTTCTTGTTTCGGGCCTTCAGGGCCTTGGTGCTGAGATCGGTAACGTTTCTGGATCACCGATCTGATATTTTTGTTTGAATTCTTTAGCTCTTTTTCTCTGGATATAAATTGACTGTTTCTGGAGTTGGAATTTAGATATAGTTATCTGAAGGACCTCATATTCTCATCAATAACGATTCACGGAAATGCACTGTGTTTCTAGTCATTGTGTTTGTTGAATAATAACTTCCGTTGCAATATTCATCTTTGTTAAGTTTTTCTTCTTGACAATTTGCAGATTTGTAATATTTGCATGAACACAAGTTGAATTGTCGAGGTTATTTGATGACACCAATATATCAAAGTGGAAGGAGCGATGGGGATATTAAATTTTTTTTCTTTATTCTTTTGAAGTTTGTTTTAATTGCTTATAAAAATTAAAAAATGATCTTTTTTAATATGAAAAATAAAAAACACCCAAATGCATTTTAGATAGAGTCAACGCATTCCTATCTAATCCAAATGCATATGCTGCTTCTATGAGGAATGCTGGTGATGGCCAGGCTAGGGAACTTCTTGAACGTGTTCTCGAGTGCCTTGATATGTTAACTGGGCGCGACTAAGGTTAGCCTCAGCATCTTCTCTTGTTCTTTTCAAGGGGGAATTTCTGACTCTTATATTGTATATTACTAGGGCTCTGTTTTATATGTATGTCTCGATGGCTACTGACAACAATTTTTATTCAGGCAGAATTTGGTATCTGATACTTTTGCGCAGACTTCTTTTTTATCATGCAATTATATTCTGTTCATGTTTTTATTTTTTATAATAGTGTCCTCTCAGGTTTGAAGATTGCTTCTCCAACCGTGTGAATTAGTTGACATTTACTTTCCCTGAGGATGCCACCACCAGCACCGGTCCACCTTTCTGGTCTGCTCCTAAAAGATTTCCACGACCATATCAGTTCTCATCTATTGATCCCAGCCACCTTCAATTTGTCATGGCTGCTTCCATTCTTAGAGTTGAGACATTTGGACTCTGTTCCTGACTGGACCAAAAATCCAGAGAAGTTAGCTGAAGCTGTTCATAAGGTATTAGTCCCTGATTTTTGGCCCAAGGCAGATGCTAAAATTGTGACAGATGAGAAAGCTACTAGCCTGTCCACTGCTTCCAGTTGATGATGCTGCTGTCATCAATGACCTTATTGCAAAGCTTGAAGAGTGTGCCAAGAAGCTGCCCCCAGGATTTCATATGTACCCAATTCAGTTTGAGAAGGTTAGGCCTCTCTCTCTCTCTCTCACACACACACATGGCATCTCCTAAGGATAGATATATGCACGTATACTTTTCAATCATGTTGAAACTTGAGGAGTTCAATTCACAATGAGATTTGCTCTTGACTTGCTTGATTTCTCTTATGATGGGCATACTTTGCATATTTTAGTTTAGTCCAAAGGTTTTGAAGAGTCATATAATGGTTTCCTTTGGGTCAAATGATTTTGATAAATACTTGAAATTTATATTGTTTTGTATACAGAAGGAGTTTCGCCCTGGGAACTTTGGCTACTAGATGACCTAGTTTTCTGTAATCACATCTTCCCTTCTCGTAGATTTTCAGACCTTTTGTTTTGTTGAAATGGTTATAATTTTAGTCACTTGTTGCATAGAAAGAAAGAATGGTTTCATTTTTTGTCATTTTGGTTCCACCTTTTCTCTTCACTATTGTTCCATTTTTGTTCCATCTCTCATATTATTCTTATCAACCACTTTTTGGTTTATTGTTCTACTTGGTAGTCATTAAAGTCTGCTTTCTACTGCGATTTCTTGTGGTTGTTGTATTCATAGTCAGTGTAGCTGAAGTGATTGTGGACTTGCAATCCTGTATCGATTTGTTAAGCTGACATGTTGTTGGTCTCTGGAAAGTGGTCCATTCTCTAATTATCTTTTGCATTTACTGGTAATGTACAGGATGATGACACAAGCTACCATATGGATTTTATAGCTGGGCTAGCCAACATGCGTGCAAGGAACTATAGCATTCCCCAAGTAGATGAGCTGAAGGCAAAATTCATCGCCGGGAGGATCATCCCGGCGATTGTCACGTCAATGGCCATGGCTACTGGCCTCGTATATCTGGAGCTCTACAAAGTGCTAGCCGGTGGGCATAATCTGGAGGACTACCGAAACACATTTGCCAACCTTGCACTACCACTCTTGTCTATTCCCGAGCCTGTTCCTCCCAAGATGATCAAATGCCGGGACATGAGCTGGACAGTGTGGGATCGCTGGATCATCAAGGGCGACCTTACTCTTCGACAGCTGCTGCAATGGCTCAAGGAGAAGGGCAGACTGAATGCTTACAGCATTTCCAGTGGTGCCTCTTTACTCTACAACAGCGAGCGATCACAGACAGGAAGGTGATCAATCTGATTGAGTAGGTTACCAAGGTTGAAGTGCCTCTTCACTCCATGAGTTTACCTGTATCGAACGCAACGCATGAGACTACTACTGCCGTTCGCTGGCTCCTCCTCTGTTGCGTTTATGGTTCCGTTACGTGTTCTCAAGACCATGGTAAATGTATATTACTCTATCAGTGGCATGTTTCATCATTGACAATAACCCCCGAGTTCTCTCGCAGCTGAAGATTGATTATGTCTCTGAGATCCAATACCTTTTTCCTCATCGAGCCATCCATGTCTGTCATCCCCAAACCGGCCGTGTCGCCTTCCACCACCCCGCTGAAGCTGGCGACGTCCATCTGCTGAGTTGGTATCATGCGGTTGGATACTGACGTGGTAGATCAACAGCGACGCCCCGCGACCCGAGAACCGGCAAATGGCCTACGTGCATGGCCCCGGAGAGCTCGACGCGTGTCCATGAATCATCTGCTACGTGCACCGAGCTCCGCAAACCTCCACCTGTTGCCTCGAGCTTACGAACGCAGGCCTATTAATCCCGACCATCGTGATGCAGCTTCAATCGTCTTGCAGCGGGAAGGGAAGGGAAGCGGTCACGATGGCGCAGGAGACGCTGAAGCTGGTGTCGCCCTCCATCGGCAACGAGCGGCGGCTGCCGCGCAACTACACGGGGGACGGCCAGGGGCGCGCAAGGACATGTCGCCGCCGCTGGAGTGGTACGGCGTACCGGAGGAGGCGCAGTCGCTGGCGCTGGTGGTGGAGGACGTGGACGCGCCCGCCGACTCGGACGGCCCCGGTGTGCCTTGGACCCACTGGGTGGTGGTCAACATCCCGCCGGGTCTCCGAGACCTCCCCGAGGGCTTCTCAGGCAAGGAGGAGGCTATGGGCGGGGAGTACGTGGGCATGAAGGAGGGCAACAACGACTGGAAGGTTCCCGGGTGGCGCGGCCCCAAGCCGCCCACGTCCGGCCACCACATCCGCTTCAAGCTGTACGCGCTCGACCAAACCTTGCGTCTTGGCAACAAGGTATTCATTTATTTATATATTTATTATTATTATTATTATATTTTGGAAACAAGTTCGGAAAATTCCTGAAAACAAATTTTTTTAAAAAAGAAAAGAAACGTCGTCTTAAGAGCTTTCGTCAATAGACGAAGGAAGATGACAGACGAGTTTGAAACGCTATTTCTTCCACCTTTCGGCGGAAAAAAGGTTGTAATTTTCTCTACTGTCGCCTTCTGACCTCTCTCTCTCTCTCTCTCTCTCTCTCTCTCTCTCTCTATATATATATATATATATATATATATATATATATATATATATATATATTCTTCTTCCTTAGTTGTTTGTGCACGTTTCTGACAGGTGACAAAGGAAAGGCTGGTGGATTCGATGGACGGACATGTTGTGGGAGAAGCAGAGTTGGTAGCCATGTTTTAGACTACGAAGCTCTGGTGGTTGCTGGACACTACGGTTCCCTCACGTTGGTTCTCTTTTCCTTTTTCTTCTTCTGTGTTGTTTCCTCGTCTTGATCGCTAAGTGTTGTCTCAATGCAAATAAAGTCGTATCAGATTCTCCCTCTCTCCTCCTTTACAGGAAGGGATATCAGTAGGTGTTTCAAGATCTGCTTCAGCCTCGTCGCTTAATAAATAAAATATAAGATAAATGTTTATACAAAATGTTATTTTTGAAATATTTTAATAATTTATTTGAACTTTCAAAGACATTTTCGTATGATAGTTTTTTTTTTATCATTGGTTCTGTCGAACTTGTCGTCGATGGGATTTACGGAGACACGATGATAGGATTGAGGGGGCAAAAGAGAGGGGAGGGGGATAATAAAGGTAAAAAGGTAAGTTAATCTTTTTACACAACAAATGTAAATTAATCTTTTTACATAAATTGGGGTGCTGTGACCATGTATCATTTATAGTCGACACATCTACGATAATATTAGTATCGATTTAATCTTCATTGTCAATGGTGATAATAATTTAGTGTTGTTGGATCTGTAGACGTCCAACATGCAACAAAGAACATATGTTTTCTCTTTGATGGTGATAATGAACATATGTTTTATATTTGATGATGATAATAATTTAGTGTAGTTGGATTTGTAGAGGTCCAACATACTGTTGGAAAGAATATATAATAAGAAGAATTATTGAAGAAGCTTTATTGAAGAAGTGAAGAAGCTTAAATGTATTAACATATCCCTCTCTTATTTATACAGATTAAGAAGGAGGATTCCCTCAGCAGAATAGAGGAGAGAGATTTTATGCCTCATAAGATGGTGTTTGCGGTGGCTTGAGTTCGTGCATGCAGCGGCGATCCATACGGTGTTGTGTGTGGCGTGGCTATACGTATATGCGAAGGGGAGCGCACCGGATCATTGAGTCCCGGCGTGCAGACTGTTGAGGGCATAAGCATTTTCTTCGTTCTCCTCAAATCCATCGATTGTTGGCAGATTAGCGAAGACTATCGCGGTGAGAAAGATGAGGATTGATCGCGGAGTCTCTTAGGAATGTGGTTGCAGCGACATTGGTCACTGGTCGGAGGCAGGGGCGAAGCTTCACTTTTTTCATTGCTTTGATATCATGTTAGAAAAAATAAAAGATAAAAAAAAATGATTGAAGAGGTTTTATTGAAGAAGAGCTTAACATGTCCATCTCCTATTTATACAGATTAGGATAAAGGATTTCTCTCAACAGAATAGATAAAATTTAATAATATTTAAAAATTATTAATTAAAAATTATTAAAAAGTTATAAATTAAAAAAATTATTGATCTAAATTAATTATTTATTATAAATTAATATCAAAATAAAAATTTAATATTTTAATTTTTAAAATATGAGATATTTTTAATAATTATAATTGTTAGGATCGAGAGTACTAAGAGGGGGGGGGGGGGTGAATTAGTGCAGCGGAAATCTTTTAGCGATTAAAAACAAAAGCTGCGTTCGTTCGATAAAAATCAGTTTTGAAG